GAAAAGAGTTCATATGATAGAACACCAATCACATCCAGGCAACCAACAACTTCATTACTCAAATAATTATATTGTTGTTCAGGAGTTCCTTTGATCAAATGTCCTGTCTATGCCTGGTTGATCAGAAGTTCCTGGTTGTTTTTAGTTCTTCATATGCTTGTTCTTATTTGCATCTTTTGGAGTCAGATGAAGCCATATAGTTTAGTTTGTGCCTTTTGAGTTTGTTAGTCTAGTTGCATATCCATACACATGCTTTGATATGTGTTAGCTATTGTTGGCTAATGTAGATATTTGATTTAGTGTAATATTTAGCAATCCAAATGGTAACTTCATAAACACAAGAAGAAAAAAACATTATTTTATTCCTTGTTTCATATATGAACAGAGAAAACCACCACTATTGTTTTTGGGTTTCACATGTCTAACTTTTTGTTAATTTTTTTTCAGCATCAGATTTGTAGGCACAACTGTTTATGCCAGAAGATGGCCTGCAATTTTCTACTGTCAGAATTTGAATAGAATCATTATACATTTACCTTTGGTCTTACAACCTCCAATACTGAACAAGAAACATGCAATAAGTATGCATAGATTCAACACTAATTCAAATTCTTTTAAAACAATCTATGATTTCATTCAAAGTCAATATAAAGCTTATGTTCAGTAGACCTATATTAAAAGTCTATGCAATAAAGAGGCATAATTTTATTTTTTTTACTAGATAATCTACAAAGTACAGTCATATCTTAAAGCTTTATAGTTATTTTTGTAATGTGACCTAAAAAATGTTACCCACTTAATATCTTACACTTACCTAAACAAAATTATGTTATTGGCCTATTTGGGAGTGGCCAAACATTGGAGTAGGTTGCACACAGAGGCTGTGGAGTCTCCATCTTTGGAGAAATTTTTTTCTGGGCACCTACTTTAGATGACCTTGCTTGGAGCAGGTTGTTGAACTAGATGATCTGGAGGGTTCCTGCCCCAATGATTCTATTTAATAGGGTAATCTGAAGACAAGAAAATTTATATTCCTGTCACACATTCTCTTGACATAAAGACTGAGAGTCTTCCCTTCTTTTGTATAATAGATCTACTTTAAAATGTAAGTAAAAAAATTTTAAAATATCCAGCAGTGATTCCATAACCAAACTGACTCTTTCTGATGAAGCTGTCATAGAAGTGGTTGTAGTAATATCTCTCACAGCAAGAAAGGCCATGCTTATCTCTCCGGGATGATCTGAACCATAGGTAGAAAATTCTGTTTCACTTGCTATTTCTGCATTGTTTCTAACTTTGGGATTGCATTTGTTAATTTTTTGGTAGCAATAATTACGCTGACAAGCACAGGAGATTAATAAGAAATTGAAAGTCAGTAGAGTAAAAAGCATTAAAACATGAAAAGCTGTTCAAAACCTGATTAGTACATTAGAATATTTGTAAGACATGCCATGAGCAAGCTATTCAGGGAGCCGACATGTCCATGGCCTTCCTTGCAAACCAAAGCCGAGTACCTGAGTTGTTAAAACTGCATGGAAATAATGGCACTGTCTTTGAAGTCCTCTAACAATGAAGGTAAAATCTTAATAGACAAAAAAATTAGATGAAGCTCCCTAGTCTCGGGAGTGTTTAGTTTGAAACCAGCCTGAAGATCTGTCTTCTTATTTTCTATCCAAAGGCCTGCCTTATTGGTGTATGAAGGAAGTTTCAGAGGTTGTGCTTATAAAAATTAACTGTATGTATATGCAATTGCATTGATTGGTTCCTTTAACTCATTTTGAAAGTACATGTTTTTAGCAAATAATAGGGGCTTACTTTTTATGGAACACATTACCTGTTATCAAGACATTATAATACTGTTCAGGCATTCTGCCATATTGGGATATGGGAGCTCAGCTCACATTCTTGCCATGATTAAGAAGCTGTAGTTATGCAATTTTGACTTAGATTCATATCAGTACCTCAGAACACTTGGCTGGCATTGTGGCTGTACCAGGAAAGAGATCGATGCAAGTACTTGTGGCACAGGGGCCTTCCCTGTCTTTCCAAGATTCTGCATTGCAGAGCATCAAGAGCTTGTATCAGTACAGAGTAGGTATGGAGAATAGATATATGTTATGCACTAATAAAACTGGCCAAATGGTCAAAGTGAGCACAGATGATCGTCAAAAACACGGCAGAATGGGCACACAGGATTTATATGTTGTAAAGCTACTGAAAAACCTTTCCTTCTTGCTCTCAAAGCCCATGCCTGCCTGTAAACTGCCCGGCCCTGCCTACAGTGCTTGCCTGCACTTGGATTGACAGTTGTGGTTTAGACTTATATGATACTGCTCTGGAAAAGACATTGCTCTAGTTCTTTTGAAAGCAGAGTGAATTGAGAAGCAGATGGATTTTTGAGGAACACTGTCTGTGCTGCAGATCTCTGATTCTTGTAAGAACAAACAAGTAAAGACTTACCCTGCACTCATTATAAAGCAGAGGAAATCACGGGCATCAAGTGTATTGCTACAACATGGGAATACAGGTAAACAGGCTTAGAAAAACACAGCTGGAAAGATGGACTAAAACTTATATAGAAAACACAGTATGTAACAGTACAAATGGCTAATGTAAAAGCAGCATCAGGATGCAGCCAAAAATCTCTTCACTTGGGACTGCACTCACACCAGCTATTCATACTGGATCTGCCCAGCTGCCAAGATCTGCCAGCCAGGTAGTTTGAAAAGTAGTGCCCAATGAAAGGTAGGAGGTTAGAGCACCACCCTTTGGCTCCACTGTCTTTCATAGAAGTAAGATTGTCCCTTTTCCACCTACAGAAACAAAAATTTCACACAAAAATGGTTCCTAATGAGTCAGAAAGAAGTAAAACCAAGATGTTGTAAAATAATTGCCTCTTATTCTGCGATTTGGCAAGTTACCTGATCTGTTGATTACCCAGCTGCTCTGCCAGTAAGCTGTGAGACAAGGGTTCCCAGTGTTACATCATTAAATGCAGAGGTATAGTCATAAAGCCCTTCCAACTCTCCAAATGAAAAGTAGTTCATGTTGCTTTCATGTGTTTCTTCTCACTATGTCAGTTCTCTAGATGACTGTGTCCTCTGCTAAAGTCATTGTCAAGGTAGGGGACCATTGGTCTACCTTTCAAATCATTCCTTACCTTCACACATCCTTGGCACTGGGCACTCTCCAGTTCTCACCTTGTACCTTCTGGTTGGTTCTGACAGCTCCCAGCTTCTCATTTCTTCACATGCTGGATCATTTACTTGAATCAGTTCTTTGAAAATGTGACATTTTTTAAGACCTCTGACGTATTTCTTCCATCTCCTCCAGGGAATCCAAGACAAATTGCTTTGTCCTGCAGGTCTTCTTTCACTACTGCATCCCTGCCCCTCTGCTTTTTAATTGAACAGAGAGGTTGTGCTCTGCTTCCACTGCCAGACTTGTTTACCAGTGAATATTCTAAAAATATCACGAGCCACCATTCTATTTTGTCCCAAATTGCCTTTTATGCACGGGAGGAATTTCTTTAATTAATTTCATCTCTGAAACTTTCCTGTAATTCCAAGCAGCTGCTGTGCTGTCCCCACTGTTAATGAGCTTTGCTTTCATACGACTGGGAGAAGAACAGAAAGGGCCATGCTGCTAAAATTGTTTCAAATTGGTTTTCAGCATGCAAAATAAACTGGACAGATCCTGTACGAAACTGATGGTAGCGTCACTGCCCCCTCTGCAGAAACATAATCTATCTGGCTAGGGAGAATGAGACTCACAGCAGGGGCACAAGGGGTTGACTTTTTCCACTTTTTTTAAAAGATACTCTGCTTTTTTGTTTTCTTCCCAAATGGACTGAAGCAGTTTCATCTTAATTGTCATTCTAAAATAATTGTCCTAGTAGGAGCAGTACATTTCAGCCTCATGCCATCCTTTGAAAATTTATGCTAGCTGCTAGCTAAAGAGATGCAGCCTGACATTCTGAACCTACACGCAGCATGAAAAATTGCTTTGATCAGGTTGTGATATAATTTGAGGCAGTAAAATAGAATTCTTACTAAATGTGTTTAAGGCATGATGCATTGTGTAATCCACAGAGAAACTCATTTCAAGAACACTGAAACCATAAAAGCAGCTGTTCTACTGAGTCATTTTCCCAATGTGCAACTTAAAACAAAGCAAAACAGAAAAAGCCTCTCCCAATTGTGTTGATATGATTATGGAATAGGATGATGCAAGGAATGTGGGGAAAAACAACAGAAAACTCATCTCCACAGTCCACATTTTTATAACAGAAGTTTGGAAAGAGAAAAAAAAGAGCTTTGTAAAGGCTCTGTTAAAAAAAAAAAACAAACAAATAAAACCAGAAAAATCTCAGTTTCAAGGAGATATTGGTGCCTAAACTAAATTGTAACAAGTGAAGTATTGATAGACCAAAACAATTTGCAAAGATAAGAATGAGCCTAAGATTACAAGGGAATTAAAATAATCAAACAAGACACTTCAGTTGAATATCTAAAAAAAATTGTGTCACGTATATGCATGTGTGCATATTTTCATTGTGTTTAATTATAATACCGTCTCTGGAAGATAAAATAGTAAGATCTGGTAAAGGAAGTGGAAGAAACTGCACTACATAGAAGGAGAACAAAAGGACCAAACGTACAGCAGGCACTTCTCTTTCATCAGTAGAAAGCTGAGTGAACAAGTGAACAGCCCTTAGAATGACTCTTCATCTCATCCAGCATTGGGAAGGAAAATGCAAACTAAGTTCTATCAAGAACCTTGTACTGATTTCCAAACAAGGTTAAATTGTTTTGTTGGGGTAGAAAAAAGAAGAACAGAACAAATAATGTGTTTCTATTTTCTGACTGTTGCAGGGACCAGAATTTAATCGTTGTAGATCTGAAATCCAGAGGTGTTTACTTCCCATATTGTATGCCTTGGAGATGAAGAGCTCCAAAGAGCACAAAGATGTGATGTGCATGTGTTTTTCTTATTTGCAGATATCACAGTAAGCTTGCTCTCCCTAGTTGTCACAGCCTGTGGCCTTGCTCTGTTTGGTGTCTCTCTGTTCGTGTCGTGGAAGCTTTGTTGGATCCCTTGGCGAGAGCGTGGTCTGCCGTTCGGGAGCAAAGACAACAAGCAAGAATCACTGAACTACACAGACACAGAGACCAATGACCATGACTACAGTGAGGATTATCTGGGTCATCCTACAGCCTATCCAGAGTCCTCCATGAAGATCAGCCACACCTCCCCTGATATTCCATTAGAGGCTCAGGCAGGAATGAAGGAGAACTGCGTACACAATGTGAGAATGCATCGTCAAATTACGGAACCAACCTCTTCTGCTCGGTCAGTAACTCCCATTTCTCTCTGATATTAAGGAATACAGATACAGTCTAAAGGGTATTGATTATCTAGTACAATGATCTATTAAAAATACATTTACTTGCCACATTCTTATAAAAAAAAAAAGGTTATTCTTTGAGGTGCACAAACCTCTTAGGTTAAAAGGACAGGATCACAATGTTCTTCCACTCTTCTATCAGCTACTGTCTCAATTGTGCCTCTCCCTCAGAAGGTGGACAAGACAGAGCACTGTATGTCCCTTAAAGCACCACAACAGCCTAGATTTAGCTTGTAAAGCATATTCATTGGCACTTAGCACTGATGCTGAACACTCAGTAATAACTCCTCAAAGATTTTTAAAACAGACAAAGACGAAAAGTAGGGCAAGGTAATAAAACACTTGCAAGAATTAGAAATAGAATTAAAAATAATAGATCTTTGCCACAGTCATGACTGTGGAGGGAAAAAAATGACTGAACAATGGTAGCAGAGGTGAACTATTTCTGTTTATATTCAACATAAATAGCTTTGGACTAATCTTGTGCTAGCATTTTCCACATGCTTTTTCTATGTTCAAACTCAGCTCATGGTACTTCACTGAAAGATTGCTGCATATGAATAGGTCAAAAAAGTGGAATCCAATTCAGAAGATTAGGATTTTGCCCAATTCAACTTCCACATCCCAATGCCCCAACAGGGTTTGCAAATTTGATATCTGTTGCCATCTTATGAAGTGGAAATTTCAATCACAATAACTGAATGACTCCAGGTAATAAATTTCACTGGACCGAAGCTAAAAGCAACTTTCTTTCCTCAGAGTAATGAAACTAAAGGAGCTTTTCAGCCAAAGCACTACAGAGTTTATTACATCAAGTATGAGAGAAAAAAACAAGCATTTGTTGGAGTGGTCAACAAACCATTTCAAACCAGAACAGCTCACTTGTAAATGAACTAGTCGTAGAGATCAACAAGTAACTCAAATGCAGAGATGTCAGGAAGTATCCTTCTTTGTCCAAACTTACCTTAGAACCAGAAATAAGGAAGCTCGGCTGGCATAACAGGACAGATCCTGCTGCCATTTACATAATGTAACTCATTTTGTAGGCATTAATCCAAATGATTCCGCTAAAAATGGTAGCTGATAAGAACAGCTACAATTCTTATCATATATTATATTAGTCGATAAGGCAGATCCTTTGGATTTGCAATGGCCATGAATTTGCATTTGTCCCTTTCTTTAGCCAGGTTTGGAGGGTGTGTACCACTGGCGTGAGACACAGGAACGGCAGATTATGTGATATTAGCACTCTGATGCTGAAGGTGAGCTCTCACAACTGTTGGTATCACGCCATTTTAAGTGAATAAAAATGTGACCTTATCATACATTGCAAAAATAAGTCAAAAGAGAACAGGATCTTTAGTGTGTGTGCACAGATTCCTATCTTCAACACAAACTTTCTTTTGTTTTCACTTAAGGCATAATTCAATCCGAAGACAGCTCAACCTCTCCAACCCCGACTTCAGCATCCAGCAGGTCCAGAACCAGGAGCAGCTGACGGGGATCGGGCGCATTAAGCCGGAGCTGTATAAGCAGAGGTCGGTGGACACAGACGATGGCCGGAGGAGTACTAGCAAGGCATGTGGGAAACTGAACTTTATTCTGAAATACGACTGTGATTTAGAGCAGCTGATAGTGAAGATACACAAGGCCATCAACCTGCCAGCAAAGGACTTCTCTGGAACTTCAGATCCATATGTGAAGATATATCTGCTTCCTGACAGGAAAACTAAACACCAGACTAAAGTGCACAGAAAGACCCTAAATCCAGTATTTGATGAAGTTTTTTTATTTACTGTCCCATACAATGATCTGAATGCGAGGAAACTCCATTTCTCTGTGTATGACTTTGACAGATTCTCCAGGCATGACTTGATTGGCCAAGTGATAGTGGACAACTTTTTAGATTTGGCAGATTTTCCCAGGGAATGTAATATTTGGAAGGATATTGAATACGTCACCAACGTAAGTATTATAATTTTTCATTTTGATAAATTTTGTTTCTGATTTTATTTCCTTAATCTGATTATAACTGAATTTCTCTGATGAATTTGTGAAGAAAAACACTCTACTCTCTCTTTCTCAAGCCTTGACCTTAATCCAAGGAAAATGACAGTACATTTTCAGTCCTCACTTCTCGTTCTTTGGATATGTTAAAGAATGCCTCATGTAGGAGACAGAGGGTTTAGTCATTGCCCTGCTGATAGGGTAGAAAAGCTGGAGAATGTCTTTCTTTTAATCTTACTTAATCTAAAATTTACTTAAGGAAATACTACTTTTCTTATTTTGCCTGTCTGTGTTTTGCATTATTTGCCACATCAATTACAGCCTACTAATAAGCCAGAACTGCATATTCAAGATTTCTTATGTAGTGATCTTCAGTCCTCCAAAAGGCTATATTCTCATGAAGTGAGATAACACCAAATCTATAATTCAAAGAGACTGTTCCATGAAAACAATGAAACACACTGAATTGGTTTAACTCTTTGTTTGACATCGTTTTGTTACACAGGAAAATAAGAATCTTATTTTATAAGTCTATGTTTCTGTTATCTCAAAGTCTCTGGTGTCAAATTCTGTACAGGAGTCCAACTAGTGATTAGGTACAAACCCACAAAAATTACTTTTGGAAAAGAAAGAGCTTTCTTCTCAATGCATGTGTCAATCTTCTTGCAATGATATTAGAAATTAATCACATGCATCCTATGGAGAATAGATCTTCAGTGAGAATGATGTATTAAAGAAATCCACAAAGGTGAAATTACTACTGCCAGAAGCCAGTAAGTAGTTCATTTGCTATGTCAAACCATACTGGAATGCATTTTTTAGAGTCAGAAAAACAAAAAATCATTAACAGTAAGATCAAGGTGTAAATTTGCTAAACCTCAGTTCAGAAAACCATTTAAGCATATGCTTAGCTGAGTGTAAGAAGCTGTTGAAAAGTAAAGGATGTTCTGAGCTAACTGCTTCCCTGAATTCAGACTCTCACCTTATATGTCTGTGGTCTGGTAGCATTCCTGTATTACAGACCAAATTGATCAATTTTTTTTTTTCATTTATTTTTTAAAATTGACATTGTTCTTGCTTCAAGGTGATTTCTCAGTAGCGTTACGTATTTATGTGTGGAATATGTTGCAGACCCACTGCACTATCTTCTTCCACACTAGGATGCAACTGCAGCAACAGCACTAGCAGTTCTCTCACTCAAGGTACAGGCAGGGGCATGGACACTCAGTGTCAGAGAAGGATGAACCTGTTTTTTCTACAAAAAGTTTCTGCTCTTCAACCACAAGGGAAAAGAAAGAATCTGACAGAATGATCTGAAAGAATCATTCCAAGTGAAAGCCTTCCTTCATACAGCATTAAGTGTCCCAGCCTCAGCTTTTCAAGTTTTATGATCAACTGAAAGTTGAATGCACATGCAAGCTAGAGTTTGTTATATACTAGTCCTTTTTCCATGCTTTAACTTAGGCAAAAGGTTAGCTCTGATATATTCTTTTTAATCCCTTCCCCTTCCAAATACATGTGATGCAGCATATAGTTTGTATGCAGATTTTCTGTAATCTCTGAAATTAAATTCAGGGCTTAAACATGAGTCATTTATTAATTTTTGCCAATATTAACTCCTGTATGAAGTGTAACCCTGTTTAACCAAACAGAACACGTGACTTTCCATCTAGACTTGTCACTGGGTTTTCAGCTAACAGAAACCTTTTCAAAGTAAATGACTCATAGTACATTGGAGGCACAATCCAATTTTGGCTAATAAATTCTGAGATAACACTATCAGATAAATGAAAGTGTGGAGTGCTCAGCTTACTACTTAACATTTCCAAAATTTCAAAGGTTAGAACTCACTCCATAAAATTTTGAGAAATCCTCCAAGCATCATTTAAGAAACCTAGTTTCAGTTTCTTGTCTGTGTAGCTTACCTATCTCACAGACTGACAGCAGACTCTAAATCCTACAAGCTACTTGGTTAAAATCCTGTAGCTAATCCTCCTGTGGCTGCACTCCAGCCCAGGCCAGCAGGCAGTATTAGTGAATCTCTGAAATAAATTTTTAGAAACATTTTGAGCACCACTGGGTAATTTATGATTGCAAACAGAAACTATGTCCACTGTAGCAGGTCTTCAATCTCTTTGTCTTTGAATGTCCTCCTGTTTCAAATAATAATAATTACAAAACAGACAAATGCTGACCAGATTTACTGAAGGAAACACACTCAATGTAGATCAACAAACACTGCAGCACAGCAGAGGTAAACCAAGGAAATGTACTGGAAAGAGGGAAGGTCCACATGACAAGTTTGTCGTACCTCAGACGAGTACATTCATTTTGATTCCTTGTGCATCTTGCTTAGTACACTGCATAACCAGTGATCCCAAAGGCCTTTATTTGAAATTCTCCATCTTATTATATTCTAATCCAATTTGACACAGTAATATAAAAGAACGTGTCAAATCCTTCCCTGCCCAACAAAATGGCCTACTTCAAGTGAACACTGCAGATTATGCCTGAAATGTCAGCTTTACTGCAAATAATGCCTTTAAATTGACCTATTATGGCATGTGCTTTCTTCTGTTTTCTAATAACACCGGAAGGATTTTTTTATCCAAAACTAACAGTTTTGATTCTTTGGGCTATAACATCTGCTACCAATCCAGAGTACATTCTGAAAGGCAGTCTGCCTCCAAACACAGATCTCCAGTATCAGAATGATTGTTCTTCTAATCCCAGGTCCTCTTATCATAAACTCTCGCTCCTGCAACACTGACACTTTTCCCAACCAGAAAAAAAGCAGCAGTGGGCTGCTTAGTGGACAAAATAATTAAGTGGATAAACTTCAGACGAACATGAAATGAAGTATACACGTAACAGATTACACTGCTTTCTGGCTCATTAAAAAAAAGAAAAAAATGCTGGTTGTGGGCTGGGTTTCAGTAGTTGGTATGTGTTGTTTAGTAGCCTCTAAAACATATGTAGGTTTTGAGGTGGGACCTTTTTGGTTGCTTTTGTAATGTTCATAGACTGATGGTGTGTTTTTAAAAGAAAAGAGTTAATATTTCCTTGGTTGCCATCTTCAAACTCAAATGGGATCAGGGAAAAATACATTACTTTGTCACAAAATAAAACACCTATGAAGGACAGGAAGCTGCCAGATAGTCCATTTCAGATAAAGTCAAGACTTATCTTTCAGAAGATAGCAAGGATCTATGCGCATAATTTGCTGTGCACCCAGAAAGGAAAATATTTTCTCAGAAACTGCTTGTTAAACATCACCAGGCAGGGCACAGAGAATGATTTCTGTGAACTGGAGATCTAGCTCTGGTTCAGGAGCATTGGCTGTTTGGATTCTCAAAATGCTCAGCCTTTGTCTCTTGCTAAGCAGGAGACCTTTCTAGACAGGAGGAGTATTTAACAGTGGCCTCCACTTAGAACAGGGGAACAATCAGAGTAAGAAAGAACAATGTAAATTTCTGTTCTTAGCTGGGCCATCATTTTCAAAATGACTACTCATTTTAGGAGGCAGATTTTTTACTTCAGTCTTATAGTATATGTAGCTTTTGACATTAATGCTTTTTCAATTGTCAAATACACTTAGGAAAAAAAAAATCTTATTTGTAACACCTCATTGGCACTTTTCTGTCGAAAAAGCCCCAAGGCTGAACATCCCAGACTAGCCTGCTCTTCCTATAACATTCTGTTCTCAAAGGCTATTCACATGATTTGCAGTAATTATGCACCTAATAATACTCTGTAAATTTTAGCTATAATATTGACTGCTATGATTTATCATTCTCTTGTGGTTTCTTTGAGGCTTTTTCCTGTATCTGCCTTCTGTGAAGGTGTGGAGTAAACTGAAGCTCTGATGAAGGTGAAGGCAATTGGTCAGATTCAGACCATGGTTTATTCTTTATCTGCAAACAATTGGAGTACTAGAAAGGATTCAAAAGATTACTCTGTTTTGAATATGGATTTTCTGAAGTACCTCCACTTTGGTTCATAGCTTAACATTAAAGAGTGTAGCATCAAAACCCATGATAAAAAACAATGTATCAGGGTAAAAAGGAGACTGAAAATATAGAAGAAAAATATTTGTGAAAGAAAGAGGGAAGAGATTACAGAAAGGAAAGTGTAGGTAATATATATAGAATTTGAGAAGTAACATGTCATGGACTTTAGAGGATATGTATGGGTCACTGAAAATCCAAAAGATAGTTATGGATAGTTCAAAGCTATAAAGAAACACAATCTGTATATCAAGTTATTTACTCCGACATACAGAAAGAACCAGCGTATGCTAGAAGTTGCAAAGCCAAGAAATTGATTGCATCTGTTTTGAAGAATCTACAAGCTTTTTTAGGTAGTAGTCAAAAATAAAACAGTGTGTCAGATAATGCTGGGTTCTTTTTGCACAGAAGCAACAAACAAACACAAAACGGTATTTAAAAAAAAAAAAATAAGAAGCTGCATGTTGGTATACATGCTAGTGTTTTGACAGTGAGAGTTAGAACATAGGATGGTTACAAGTATTTGAAATTCTGTTTCAAGAAAAGCTAATTGTTCACTGCTATTGTTCTCAAGGTTTGTCCACAAAAGAAAGATTTTAGATTTTATTTTTTTAGGCATTTATGTTTTCTAACTGAGATGCAACTGGAATCATAACAGTACCAGAAGGAAGTTTGAAGTTCCCAGTTTCAGATATGTCAATGCTGACCACAGTACATGTGGAAGACAGACAAGAAAAGACAATTATTTCAGTCAGTTGTTTATGGAAAGCATAATAAAAGTCTAAAATTTTGAAACCTGACCAAACCTACTAGACTTTTTGCAGTTCAAAACTGTTCTGTCCTCAAACTAAAAAAAAACTTCCTCAAAGGTTGCATTCCTTAGGACCATTCCTGCAAAGAGGCTGTGAGCAATTCTATGTGCCAAATGCACATGCATAGGTGCTGGGTATA